ATGTAGGTACCTGAGTATGGATTTAGATGCGTAACTCCAGGCGCCAAATTATCTGCTGGTGGGGGAAAAAAGCGAAACTGTAGCGACCTCAAAGGAGAGTTGTCTCCATTTACCCCAGCTGCAAGGAAATATCAACACAGAGAATGGAGTTACAATTATTTATTTATCACCCCAAACACGTTCTCCCTTGAAATCCCCTGGTCTGAATTAATACCCAACCCTACACTTGTTGCTTTATAGAGCACAACAGGTAAGAATTAAAATGTACCTTTTTCTTCACTCACAACATAATAGCATCATTTTTTAATCTGGGAGGGTAATGAACCATGGCGGTTGTGTTCGATTCTCCATCACTGACCATTCTTATATCAAGATTGGATTTTTTTAGCTCAAAACCGAATTACTTTGGGGGAGTGCTTTGGCCTGTGTTATAGGGGAAGTCAGACTAAATACCACAATAGCCCGTTCTGGTGTTGGGATCTATGAATAGCTATATTCAGAGGTTCCCTCCAATATTTCTTTGGATCACAGCCACTGAAGTGGTTCCCCCCCCCCTTCCTTTTTGGACCCAAATATCACAAACAGAGGAGGTGATGTAAAAATCACTGACAAAATACCTAACTCTAAAAAAAGGCCAAATCAAATATTTTTGCACGGATGTCTGAAAGCCCCCCAATGATCAGCAATGTTCCTTATGAATCAAATAACGGAGAAGCCCGACGTGACGTTTCCTGGGGGCGGGGGAACAAACTTTCTCTGCTAACCCTTATATTGAGCTTCAAAATGAAAGAGTCTGTCTAAGTGCCCTGAAACCTTGGAAATGTTTAACTTTCGATGACAGAGCCTCTTTCAAATGGATACCTTTAAAAGACCCACTCCACTTCCGTTGAGATCTTGCCACAAAAGACTTTGCTATAGATCTTTCTCTCTTTCTTGTATCAAATATGTCAAGCAAACTGTTTAAAACCAAGCAATCGCTCAAGAAAGAGCGCGAAACCTTCCCTTTTCAGATCAACACACCAGTAGGTTTCATGGGACCCCTTTGCTGTGCCTACGGGATGTCCTGTTAGAAAAGGTTTCTTGTAAGAGCTCCCATTAAGCCTGGGAAATCATAGGGATGGCCGGGGAGAACTATATGGTTCTCCCTGGCTGGATTTCTTCCCTACCCCGTTACAGGGCAGCTGCTGACGTTGTTTACAACGAGGGAAACCAATCCAATGAATAATCGCAGATGAACTGCCCGCGAGCCTGCGGTAGGAACTTCCCTGCCTCCTCCTGCGCGACCCGAAATACAATGTTACGCAGTTATGTGCGTTGTGAGTGTGTTTCTGGCGGGGTGTGCGCGTGGTAGAGGGAGTGTCCACTACTGCATTGGTCACTGCTGGAGATGGACCTTTGGAGCATGCTTAGGGAAACCCCCAAGACCGGTCGCCTCCTATAAAGCCTATATTTAGGATTAGTCATTAGCTCCGGGAAAAATGAGACCTGCAGGCCCGGATTCATAAACTAGGAGTAAAAAATTCAGCGGGGTGGGGTGGGGGGGGGGAGATCCTCCTCTATGGGCTATTCAATGCTTAAAGCGAGATAACAAAAAGGCTCTACACCTCAGGAAAAAGGACTGGAGTCTAGGCCCGCAATTAACACGCTCGTTCTTGTCACTGCTGCCGCTAATCGGTGCAAGCAGCCGATGTGCAATTCTCTTGCTCAGGTTAGACTCTTTCCCCTCCCCCGCGAACAGAAGCATTAAAACGGCCCCTCCCCCATCCTCAAAAATCCCCAACTAATTGTTGTTTGTTTGAATTCCACCCAGCGAAAAGCCAGCAGCATCGGAAAGTCTCTGTCGGTTGTTGTGCTTTAGGAGATAGGACTCATGACAGATGAAGCAATACATATAAAATAATATAATTAATATCATATACTATAATAAAGCAATACATATAATTAAAGGGTAATGACTAATGAAGCATTTGGGGGAAGAAAAGAGGGAGGGGGACCAGAGATTTGATGGACTAAACCACGTTATCTCATCGCTTTTCCCTGATGGGATCCCATTCTTCTGTTGCTTCAGCAAGTTCTGTACCCTCCCTTCTCTCCAGGGGAAGCTGTCCATAATATGACCTGCGAACACCAGAGATTTTTTTTTTTTGGTAGTTACCCATCGGATGTCTCCTTCCTCTGATGGGTCTGACGGTCTGTCCTGAAGTGGGGCCCGCCTCTTCTCCACTGGGTAACATAAAAAAGAAGTAACATGTAAAATAATCACCAATGGTGCGAGGATCTGGAAAAGGAAAGAGATTGAGGATCTCAAGTCGCATTGAAAGCCACGCAGGCGATTTGGAAATCCCCACGCTATGACTGCATGTGATCCATTGACCCCGATTCGGAGTTGAAATGCAGGCATGGCTGCCATTTGGTGTAAAAGCATAAGCCACTTTTTGCTCGCAAGGGGGATGAGATTTTGATACGCTTGTGCGGACTGGCACCTTCCTTCACGAGTCGCTGGGATCCCACTTGAAGGTGGAGGGGTGCCATTGAACTGAAGTTACGGACAGTATCAAAAACTGGCCCTGGGGAAGGTGCTTTTTCACTATAGCAACAACAACAACACAAAAGCTTATGACAGGGCTATTTTAACCCCAGCGCCTTTGATCTCACCATTAGCCCCAGATATCTATCCGGGACGTTGTGAATACTTGGCACATGGGTTACAGAGAGCAGATAAGAAGAAGCTAAGTGATGCGTCCTTATGGGGGTGACAGGGCCTAGGGTAACAGAGTGGAGCAGATGGCGAGCGGCCAGAGAGTTCCAAAGGAAGGGGGGAGGAAGAGGGGGGTGAAGAGGATTCAGCATCCCCTTTCTTAAAGAAAATAACCCCCCACATCACCTCACCTTCTTTGCCTTGATTTGAGAATCACCTCCACAAGAAAAGACTGGAAGAAGATTGGCTTTGTCTCTGATTCCAGTCCATTATATTTCCTGTCACTGTTATATTCCCCTTTGCTGAAGGGGCAAGCATTTGGGCTGATTCATATTAAATGCTTCCTTTTGTGTTACACTACACATGACCATTGCTTGATCGCACTAAGGCGGCATTTTAATGTCTTCTCTTAACCTGCCATCGCGACCAAACTCTTGAAAAGTACAACTCTCAGATCTGATACGTGGCTTGGTTTTCACGAAAGGAGGTTTCATAGGACGGGGATACCGATTACAGCCTGTCTTCCCCTCCACATGGCTGTAATAGTGAGATCTCCTTGAGGCAATCTGGGAAACTCCAGAATGTTTCTATATTTTAAATGAAATAAAACAGACTCTATTTTAGCGCTGGGATGAGAAAATTGAAAATGATCGGAGCAGTTGTGTAAAACCGGTTCAGTGATGGAATACGTTGATTCTTTAAAAAAAATCATAATCCAGGAGTGATCTATTTTAAGTATTATTTAAATATAATAAATTCATTTCCTCTCCCTCCTCACCCCCCGCCCCAACCCCCAAATAAGTACTATATAATATAGAAAACCACTCCTGGCTTTAAATTAAAAACGCATTTCATTTACAAAAAGAATCACGTGTTAATTGTCTTGGGTTTTGATCATTAGTTTGCGTATGTGTTATTCAAAAGTAGGATTTCTAAATACCACAGAACACGTGTAACTCAAAGAATCTGCCTAACTGATACCTTATGATGAATAATATTCACGAACAGAAATCAGGTGATGTAGGAAACTTTTTCATAAGCTCTTTAGTTAATCAGGAGAACTGTAACTAGCTAAAACATTCAATTGATCTTTGCAAGCTTTAAAGGAAAAGGGACCCTGCTCTGGTCACATCTATCCCTGTTTCTTAACAAAAGTGTCCCTGTTTTCAAAAGTGTTGCATCAGCCAAACCTCTGGACTAAAGAACTTGTATATATGTCTTAAAGTGAACTTTTGGCCTAAAAAACTCCTGATGCTTCTTAAGGGCTGAGTAACCAGTAAATATCCTGACAAGTAACAAATGACTGTGGGCGTCATATTGTTAGATGCTCTTGTCTCCCATGTGCTAACAAGTAAATAAATGTTGCCTACCTCTGTTTCCATTATATTAACAGTAGAGTGGTAAGTCTGACTTCAGTTTCCTTCTCTTTGTACCTACCCACAATTTGGACGGTGCCACAAGAAGACCTTGATCTAATAAATCAATCAGAAACAGACCAAATTATGTTTGTAACTGAAAAAAAATCAGCTTAAAATCCTGGCATTTATTAAACGCTTTCAAAAGAAACTTCTCGTGTTCTATGATTAAATAGATAGATATTTTCAGTCTTTCCTCAGTCTTCATTTTACTATACTGTGTACTGTGGTGTTTCTCCAACAAAGACATTCTGTCTTTCAAAGTTTATTTCATCCGCTCATTAGAATATTGATTTAATTAAATAGCTTTTACCCCCACTGGTTCTAGACACAAAGCTAGGGTAGTAAGATGAAAGTACAGATGGGTTTGGTTTGATTTTTTAGCCTTTTCATCCAAGCAAACTCCAAAACACGTTCGTGCCAATTTGCAGAGAAAGTTTTAAAAGGAAGAAAAGAGCAGATGTATAGTTGAAAAAGTAGCGAATCCTCCCTACCTCTGTCTCTGTCTGTCTCTGTCTCAGATGGAACTGGGGTTGGGGAAAAAAACCTTCTATTTGGGGAAAAAAGTTCTGATGAAGTTGGTCACATCTTATAATTTGGGGGCCCTTTTAACACTTAAAACAGTCTTGAATAATTCTAACTCTCTGCTCCCCCCCCAACACACACTCCCTTCTCTCTTTTAAAGTCTTTGAGGAAAGATTTTGACATATACGTGTTGTTATCAGATTGATGGGCAGGGTTTGATTGAAGTTCCTTTGTCATGCAAATGCCAGGGGCTTGATGGATGAGCGCAGATATCTGACAAACTTCAGGAGGTCTTTGCTCATTGGATTCGTGGCGGACCACGTGGTCCCACCCCCCACCCCACAACCCCCCCTTTCGGAAGGCTCTGGGGGTTCGAAGGCTAGCGATCCATGGATGGAAGTTTTACAGCTTTGACATACTATCTAAAGGTTGTAGGGCAGGCGAAATCCCCCCAAAACAGGTTGACCCTCCTCCATCACTGGCAGATGGACAATACTAGGATGAACTCCTTCTTAGAGTATGCAATTTGTAACCGTGGGACGAGCGCCTACTCACCCAAGGGCTACCATCATTTAGAGCAAGGGACAACCTCCTTTCCTGCTTGCTCAGGTACACCCACCAGTGACAGTTATAATGGAGACGGACGCTTTGTAGTAGCAGGGAGTGCTACCGTGCCAAGCCATCCTACTCAGCCGAACCCAAGCTACCATCACCCCCACCCTTCAGGGCTTGGCCTCCCCTTCTCGGGCTCTGCATCAGCAGGGTACCCGCCCCAAGCCTGCAACCCCAACTACGGGCATCACCAGTTCTACCTCAGCCAGCAGGAAACGGATGGCGTGTATTTCCAATCACCAGGGTACTCTGCCCCCGCTGGATCTAACCTCAGCTCTGGGTCAGACGGCTACTGCCCCGCCGTGTCAGGGTCTGGACAGTACCAACACCACCCCTATGGCCAGGAGCAGCCAGGCTACTTGCAGGGGGCTTACAGCCACCTTTCGTCTGCTTTAAACGAGGACAAAGATCACGCCTGCCCCACCGCCAGCCTCACACAGACCTTCGACTGGATGAAAGTGAAAAGGAATCCTCCCAAAACAGGTGAGTTTGACAACTCGGCGATCGTTTTATTTTAAAGTTGTGTGTGTATGTGTGGTGTGTGGTGTGGAGAGAGAGGTGGGGGAAGAAATCTTTTGTGGGTTGGCTATGGGAGAGAGCTTGTCCCCCTCCCAAGTCACAAGGACCGAGCTCAAGAGAGAATGGAACAGATCAACATCATGGCTGCAATAGAGGTAGACAGAGGTCCTGAAAGCTGCGCCTTCTACTGTAGTGATGTAGGGCCGCTGAATTTCTGTGCTAGGCCCAGAGCGATTTAAATCTTGCCTTAAGGAGGGAATGATCGTGGCTTCCGGCCCCTCCAAATCTTCCCCTTCCACTCCCCTATTGTTCAACTTCCTTCCCTAGAACCCCCGTAAATCCCAACCTCCCTCCCCCAGCTTGACAGTTCCATGAAAGTTTCCAGCGAACTGAGAGAACCGTGACTTGCAAAAGCGGACTATTTGGAAGGGAGCAGGTGAGCTGTTCCTCTCAGAAGGGAGGCTTCCGGTGCTGGAGGGACCCGTGCAGGTACAGAGAGCGCTCGGGCCCTGCAGTGGATGGAGCTAAGGGCGAGAAACTGGGCCCGGATGCTGAAGTGGTGAGTGTGGCTGGGTGATGGATGGATGGAGAGAGAGCGGGAGAGGGCCTCGCTTATCATGCGTCCGCCCTCCCCACTGCTTTAACGCGTTACGCTTTGCTGCTGCTTCCTGTGTGTGTTTGCTCATTAACAGCTAAAGTGGCTGAATATGGACTGGTCGGGCCGCCCAACGCCATCCGGACCAACTTCACCACCAAGCAGCTGACAGAGCTGGAGAAGGAGTTTCACTTTAATAAGTACCTCACCCGGGCCAGGCGAGTGGAAATCGCCGCCACCTTGGAACTCAACGAAACCCAGGTGAAGATCTGGTTCCAGAACCGGAGGATGAAGCAGAAAAAGCGGGAGAAGGAAGGCCTGGCCCCCGCTCCTGCCCCCAGGGCTGCTAAGGAAGTGAGCGAAGCCTCGGACCAGTCCAATTTCACCTCACCTGAGGCCTCTCCCAACTCCGTTTCCTCCTGAAACGGTCCCTTCAAGGCGCAGGAAGGATAAGGCCATCTCCCTGCAAACTAAGCCAAGGCACGCAGCTGGAGGCACGCATACCCAGCCCATACACACTCCACACTTTCCTACACACACTCCAGGCTGGCCCACACCCCACTCCACTGACTGGTGCCCCATTGCCGGAGTTGTGATGGTTACACCCCTGCTTGCATTTCTCTGTCCTTCGCTCTGATTTTATGAGCCCGTCCCGTAGGAATAGTTCACTCCAAAAAGGAGGGGCTGGCTGTGTTTTTATCCTACTTTCCCGGCAAGACCCATTTGTCTCAGGGACGTTTCCACCCCAAGTTTGGGGATTGCACTTTCAACCAGAGAAACTTTGGAAACGAATTTAATTATTTCCATTCCAAAAAAACAAAAAAAACACACCCCACAATGTGCACAATGACTTTAGGCTGTAAGAATTCGTTGCTTGATGTAATTTTTTTTCCCCCGTGTCCTTTCTTCCCACAGGATTGTAAAAAGTGTTTTCCCCACCCCCACTTTTAAACTTTGTATATCTTGGAGTGAGACTTGCCCTATTAATAAGCCAGAGGCCTTTGAGAAAAGAACACAACAACCCTTTCCCCTCGTTTTGCACTATCGCGGCTTTCCATGGTGTTTAAATGCTTCGTGTTTTTTTTATTATTATTATTTGAATGTAGTTTGGATGCTGCCAGCCACACACACAAAATAATGTAGGAAAAGTTTGACCTCCGGGTACTTTTGGGGGGTGATTTTGTTACCGAGTGTGCCATGCTTCGCGGAACCAGGCTGCAGAGTGGAACCTTGGAAGATATTGGATCGTTCAGTCACATTGCTGGATTCAAATGATATTTATTGTCTATTGTGTTAGCCTTAACTCTTAAAGGAAAGTAGCACCCCCCCCCCTTTCTCTGAGCCCGAGCGAAATTCTATTTAACAATGGAAAATACAGTGTAATTATTCCCCTCCCCCCAAAAAACAAACTTTTGCATAGAGCAACATTAAGAACGTGGAGTTTGTTGTTTTGTTTCGTTTTAAGGAGAAAATTACATCGAACAAAAGCTTATCGGGATTTCCCCTCCCCCCCTTCTGTATTTTGACATGAAACTACCTCATTCTAATAAAGTTTAATTTTTCAGAGTCGAGTCCTCGTGATTGTTAGTTACCTGGAAATATCTTTCGCCCAATCAGTGGGCTGAGTGTGATGGGACGGGGAGGAGAAGGGTGGAAGGTTTCCTAACGCCGCTGAATCTTTCCAACGACTGGCCCGATCCTGCTTCGGTTTTAGATCAAATGGCAAATCTCCCCTTGGCTTCGACAGATGCAGGGTCGGGCCCCGTAGACACCCTTTTACCGCGTCTAAGGGCAAAAGTTAAAGCGAGTGCATTGGGAACCTGCAAAGCGGATCGCTTAACTTCAAGTGGAGGCGTTTGGCATCAAGCAATCAGTTTCTCCTCTGGTCACTTAGAACTAGCGATTAAAAAAAACCACACACGTATTTAATCAGTGAACGATCTCTAAAATGAATAGGAATGTCTCTCTCTCTCTCTCTCTCTCTCTCACACACACACACACACACTAATTGAAGCATACACATTTCAAGAATTATACTGTACCCATGTTCTTGAAACAGAAGCATCGACTGGAATTAACAGTGTGTGTGTGGTGGGGGGAGGGATATTTAAATAAAGAGGGTTTCTGTATGATTGAAAACATGCTTTAAAGCGAATCCACTGGCTTTAGAAGTAAAGTCAAGAGGGGTATTTTCCCCTTCCCCCGCACGCCCCCAAATGGGGACACCGATCGAGGAATGATTGCTCCCCAAATGAAAAGCAGTAACAATTACTCCATCACCTTTGGGGGCTAGATCCTGATTCCACAAGGCGATGACACATCTCCCGTTGACTTCACTGGGCGCAGGATCGGACACTTTATTCTATAATCTTAATATTTCTGGAGGGTCAGAGGTTGGGTGGGGGAGGGGGAAGAGGACCTTTAGCTCTGACCTTTTTACCTCGAAACGCCTCTGGGATTTCTAAACAAGTAAACAGAGAGACTGCCAGGAGAATCTATTGTCCTGGGAAATTTGCAAACCCTCTTTTTTTGGAGGGGGGGGAAGAGGTAAGCAACTTACCAAAGTACCTGTTGTAAATTAAATGTATGGATTTGCCTATATCGATGTCTTAAACGCTGCTCAATGCTGTTTTAAGGAACTGGGCCCAAATCATCGGAGGGTTAAGAGGAAACTTCCCCAGGCAGTGTAACCACCCTCGTCTCCCCTTTCTATTCGGGATCGTGGGGAATACAGCTTTTATGGGCTTTAAAAAAAGTTTTCGGAGGTGCAGTTAGTCTAGGGACAGGGCTGGGAAAGGAATACACTAGCTTAAAAGAGAAGGCTTTTTGCTAAAATTAATAACTTGCATATCATCTCCTTTGACAGGAGAAAGAACGCTGAAAGAAAGAAAGAAAAGAAAACTGGATGCTTTGATAACCCATTTGACTGAAGGAAACTTTCTTTGAAAGTGTCCCGTTAAGGCCGGGTCTTACTCGTCTAACGTTCGGGCATTTCCACCAGAGAGAAGTCTCGTGTCTCTTGCATCTGTTTCGAATCGAAGATGTAATGGAGTGAGTCCCATTTGCCCACAAGGCTGACAGGTGGGAATGGACGTTAGCCGTTCCCACTGGATCAGAGTTGGGCGAGCTCGGGGTCCTGTCCAGGACGGGAAGGCCGATGGAGCTGAGCAGAAAGGACAGGAGGTTACTGATATGTCAGGATGTCGGGCACTACAAAAGCATAGAAAACTCGCATTTAAAACTCAAAGGCAGACCCCGGAAGAGGCCCCAGCGCCTGTGTTGATGTGCCCTTACATATGTAAACCCCTTCCGACCTATTCCCATTTATAAGAGGGTTCGTTTCATCTCCCCCATCCCCTCAATTTCGTCCTTCATTCTCACAGTGGCTTTTAAAAAAATCACCACATACTTTCTTTCGCCCCCCGCCCCCCCAGATTTCTCACACTTCCTCTTGTTTTTCTGGAAGTTAACAGACAGAAACTCATGGCTGTGAACTAGAAAACATCGCAAAAATACTAGCTTGGTGAATTAGTAGGTTGAAAGAAAGAAAGAAAGTCTCTGTATCATATATATATATATATATATACACACACATACACACACACAGACACGCATATATGTGTACATGCTATTATATATATTAAATTACATACATCTCATAACTACATGTTTATAGATAAACACACATGTAACATTGCATGTATATCTATACATCTATATGTATGGATTTATCTTATCTGTATTTATACATACATGTAGGTGTATAGTTGTATTAGATATATGTGTATGTATATCATAGAATCATAGAATCATAGATTATAGGACTGGAAGGGACCTCGAGAGGTCATCGAGTCCAGTCCCCTGCCCGCATGGCAGGACCAAATACTGTCTAGACCATCCCTGATAGACATTTATCTAACCTACTCTTAAATATCTCCAGAGACGGAGATTCCACAGATTGACAGATATACAAAGATATCTATCTATCTATATATACACTCACATATCTCACATCTATCTCTGGAGCATCTCGTATGATATTTGTCGTGAGCAGGAAAATCACTCCAATGTCAATGCAAACATATATATGTAACATATAAGCACACGCATCTATCTGTCTGTCTATCCACGTAATGGAGATTTATTCTTTTAATATCCCAAAGGAAGAGGACATTTCCCAGTTTAGAAATTCTTGTAAATTATTTATGACAATAGCCTTGTTTGAGATACGTCTCTTCTGCGAGAGGAGGAGATGTTAGGCCAGGATATTGAACAGACTCCTGTCTTCTAGCCATGCTCACAGATAACAGAGCTGGAGAGAAGGCCAGGAGTCCTGGCCCTTCTTGGCAGATATTTCAGGGCCATGTGTTCCTTACCCCTTGGTGTGAAATTTTTCTTCTCTCCCTAAAGCGTTTGTTCTCACAAGATGAGGCCTTTTGATCTCAGAAGAGCACATTCTATTACAAAAGAAAGAAAGAAGAAAAGAAAAGAAACCAGAAGATTTTCTTACTTTCAACTCCATTTTGCTCTGTTATTAACTTTCTCCCCAGAGCTGATCCGGGCTGGAGGTGTGAAAGCCCTCTGAAGCTCACCCCGCTGCCTGGGGAAACGACTTAATAACAGTACCGTGGGACTGGAAAGAGAAATCTCTTTCCTAATGCAAGGCCTCTGATGCCCTTAAAATAGAAGATGAAAGTTGTGAGCAGTTTCATGTTTATCCAGCTCTCATATTTCACACAGCAAAAACAAACGGGGGGGGGGGGGGTTGCAGCAAGAAGGAACACAAATTCTTTCTTTGCAAAGAGGGCTTTTTCATTATTTCCCGAAGCAAATCAGAGTTGATCTCTTGTTGAATTTCACTTTGTGTAAGTGATTCAGCAAGGAGCCCATCCCTAAGAATGTGAGTAATCATCCTTATTCAGCAAAGCACTTAAGCATGTGCTTAATTAAACTTGAAGTAGGCCACTGAAGTCAATGGACTGCCCAGGTTGTTACAGTTAACTCTGTGCTTTGGTAAATAAGGGTGGACTTACATGATCATCGAGTCAAGGTGGGTGAGGTAATATCTTTTATTGGACCAACTTCAGCTGGTGAGAGAGAAGCTTTGGCACTTACACAGAGCTCTTCTTCAGGTCTGGGAAACTAACTAACTCTCTAATATCCTGGGACCAACAGAGCTACCACAACACTGCCTACCTGCTCAAAGGTAAGCATCTTTGCTGAACTGAGGCCTACAGCAGCCTACTTATTTTTCTTAATACTTTTAATACAAACAGGTTCAAGTCAGTGCTTCTATATCATGATGCCAACTTTTCCCAATGTAGCGTGAAACATTTCCCAAATCTGGTGAAAAATTCCCAGATAAAGTTTTTCCCAGTGCTTCTATATCCTGGGAAATTTCCCCACAATCTGGGAATTTGTGAGTAAAATGTTTTGAATGAAAATTCCCCAATTTCCCAAGTTGAAACATTTTACTCACAAATTCCCAGATTGTGGGGAAATTTCCCAGGATATAGAAGCACTGGTTCAAGTCACACTAAGAAAATAATACACGATATGGTGGCGCTAGGTGAGACCAGTTTGAAGGAATGGTGCCACCATCCCCATTTCCCCAGACTTTGATTGTGAGCCAAATTCTGATACTCTCACTCGTGTTGGGCAGTATCTTAGGACTAGGTGCTGGAGTAAACTGGGCTCCCTGAAG